GGCAGCATGGTGCCTCAGTGGTTAGCACTGCTGCCTCACAGCATCAGGAACCTGGGTTCGATTCCATCCTCCGGCAACTGTCTGTGTGGAGTTTGCACATTCTCTCTGTGTCTGTGTGGGTTTCTTCCGGGTACTCTGGTTTCCTCCCACAGTCCAAAGATGTGCAGGCTAAGTGGATTGGCCTTGCTAAATTGCCCGAAGTGTTCAGGGATGTGTAGATTAGGTGGGTTATGGCAGATGGGTCTGGGTGGGATGCTCTGAGGGTCAGTGTGGACTTGTTGGGCCAACGGGCCTGTTTCCATGCTGTAGGGATTCTATGATTCTATGATATCTCTTTAGGCTTCCAATCTTTTCAGTTTCTCTACATTTAGAAATTAGCCGCATCCGTCCATTTAAGGTACAAAGTGAATGACCTCACATTTGCTGACACTAAAATCCATTTCCATGCAGTTTGACCATTCACTTAACCTCTCAATATTATTTTGTAATTTTATGCTATCATCTACACTGTTTCCAAATACATCTACCTATTTGCTATCACCAAATTTGGTATATGGCTTTTGATGCCATCTCCAAAGTCGTCATTGAATTCAGTGAATACTTGGGCCCCAACACAATGTTTGTCTGTGGACGCACTTTTATATGAAAAATAGAAACATCACTGCACACAAAATAGTAAAATTAACGCGTTAGAAGAATAAAGGACTCTAGGGATACAAATGATCAAATCATTAATTGCAGAATTACTGTTCAGTAAAACAATTCAAAATGCTATTAAAAGTTTGGGATTTATTTTCAAATCTTTGTCCATATCTCCCATGAGGGAAAATCTAAAAGGCACTTCAGAACCACTCTCAATTGATTTCTTAATATTTCCACTTGTGAAACAGAATGCAAAACAAGGGATAATTTAAGGTAGTTGTTCATAAGTACAGCAGGAAAATAAGAAAGAGATTCTTTACTCTGGTTAGAATGTGGAACTAGCTACTACAGGAAGGCTTTGAGGCAAATAGCTTTGCTGTTTTCTAAAGGTAATTACATAAGATCATGAGAGAGAACAGATTAGAAAAATAAGCTGAAAAATTGAGGTGGGTAGATGGAATAGGAAGAGAGTTGTGTAACACACCAATGGCACAAACTAGTTGGGCAAAGTTACTTTTTCAGTACTGAACAATTCTATGTCATGCCTACTGTTTACTGTGTCATCTTATTTAGTGTCAGCCCTAAATTTAGATATACGGTACTCTACTTCCCCATTCAAGCCATTCAAACATATTGTGAAAAATGGTGTCCCAGGACAGATCTCTGAAGGAAAATCATTTGTCATATCTTGCAGCTTAGTCTATTTACCCATTGTACCCACTGGCTTTCTGCTTCAAGCTAACCAAGTCTATAACCAAGCAAATAGATGGTATAGAAACTGGAAGAACAGCTGATGCTATAAATCAGAAACCGATGTAGCTGGAAAAGATCAGCAGGTCTGAAGATGGGTCACTGGACCTTAAACGTTAATTCTGATTGCTCTTCACAGATGCTGTCAGACCTGCTGGGTTTTTCCAGGAAAAACTTCTGTTTTTGTTTCTAATAGACTGTTTCCATTTCCGAAGCATTGAAGCTTTAGAGCAGGGATTTTCCTATATGGGAGGTTTACAAGAGCAGTGAGGAGGGGTACCTTCTATTGAGGGAAAGTGATGTAGTTGTATTATGCAGATGTGATGAGGATCTGGGTATAGATTCTATTAGCATATTGTTCTCATATTGGTTATATTATAAGAACTGCTTTAAAAAACTTGAAAGATCGTGGATAACAATGAATAGGGTTTTTTTGATCAGCAACTGTGAAGGAACAGGTTGAGGAACAGTTTCAACTTCAAATAAGAGGTTTTCAAAAAAATAATGGAGAGTTCATGTGGGGCATTATACTTCTTTTTAACTGGCACAAACTGTTTATAAACAGGAAATGTGTGGTAACACTTTGTGCTGCAATAGTCACAGCCAGGAGTGCAATGCCTCCACAATATGGGGGAGCAAGGACAGGGAAAAGAAACAACAGGAAGTAGAAATGCCAAATTAACCCTTCCTGCGCCATGGAGCCATGAGCAGCATGGAGCTGGAAAGGCCACCTTGGAGTGAGATTGTGAGGTCAGTTACATGGGTGGGAAAGGGACTGATATTAGTTAGTGTCGATCTCTGTGAGCACGAACAGCCTTACAATGCTCCAAAAAATCTATCTTCCTGTAACTTCAGCTTCTTGTGCATCACCCGTTTCCTTCACTTTATTAGCATAGTGTCCAAACCTGGAATTTTAGACTTTTCTTTTCCTGAATTGCAACTAGAATATGACAAAGGGCTGGATTTTATGTCCACCAGCCAGTGGGATTGAAGGAGTTGGGCTGTGTAACATCAAATGAGTGGCCTTCCGCCACTTAGCCCCATGGACCAACCGAAAGCAGCTTCCCCAAAGTCGCCCCTCACATTTAAACCTCCTGCAGGTTCTTAACCTGGCTCCCCAAACCCTCAGTCACATCATTCCCATCACAGAGAACCTTGACCCTAAAGTTACCACTTGAAATTTTTGGTGTGATGGGAGTATTTGAAGTCCCAGCAGTGGCTACTGCTGCCAAATGGCATTTCCAGCACAACAGAGCTGTTGACCATTCAAATGGCTGGCACCTATCCAACATGGGAATAACTCTGAACAAAGGACAGAAATCTTGCGTTGAATCAATTAATGCAGGTGTGCCCAGTGAAATCCAAAGTATATGTTAATAATTTTAGTTTAATTTATTCCTCAGTTTCCCTCCACTTTGCAAAATGTTTGAGTTTGATTCCACTCAACTGGAAATACATACCACTGGGTTTAATAGGAAGCTCACTGTCAACTATTTGCTGCTCTTTGCTGAAAAGACAGGCACAACTATTCTAAGCTCAATGCAATTTTTCATATATACGTTGGACCATTTTTAAATATTAAGAATTATTGTCAACACTTTATTTCATCCAACATAACTTTTTACAACTTAATGTACCACATTCCATATTGGAAAAAAATCACATTTCTAGAAAAGTAAATTTATTTTCATGCATTATTGAAATATATGCAAAGTAATTAAAAACTCTATGCGACTAAAAGGAAAAGATATTTGCGAAATATAAAATACTTGTATAGAAACATTCTGTATATTATAAACTTTACACATCTGATCAAGCAACTTTAAAATATTTAATAATTTTTAAAAATTGTATTATTTAATTGCCTTCATTCTTATAATTTTCAAGGTTTATAACCACTAATCCAGGATAACCTCAATGATGGGGTAACTAACTCGTGTGTTTATTAATAAAATTCAGCATAGATTTGTTGAATCTTAATAGGGTTATTTGATGAGGTAACAGAAAAAGTTAATGTGGATGATATGGTTGATTTGTTATAAATGGACTTAAAAAGCATTCGACAAAGTGCAATGGATATGTTGTGAAAATTGAAGCTCAAGGTATAAAAGGGCTAGTGACAGCATGGATATGAAGTTGGCTCAGCAATAGAATACTGTTTGTCAGGCTGAAGAATGGTCTACCCTAGTGTCCAATATGATCAGTACCACGACCACTGCTATATTAGTTACTTAGACTAGGGTGTGCATGGCATAATTTCAAAACTGGCAGAACACAATGGAGAACTGAGCAAAAGGATTATTCAAGACGCATACAGGTTGGTGGAATGAATAGACAAGTGGCAGATAAATTTTCAGGCAGACAAATGTTAAGTAATATGTTTTCAGTGCGAACGGTGGACATAGACGATGTAAAATAAAAAAACATTATTCTAATGGGAATGCAAGAATATAGAGTCCTAGGGGTACACGTGACTAAACTATTGGAGATCAAGAGCAAATTAAGAAAGGAGTTGAAAAGGCAGAGTCTTGGTGGCTCATTGCCACTTTCTCAAGAGTAATTAAGGACAGGAATCAAATGCTGACCTTACAGCGGCATCCATTCCCAACAAAGAATTTAAAAGTCCAAAAACACGGAGCAAACGCTGAACCTTTATAAAACATTGATTCTGCCTCACCTGGAGCATCGTGACTGATTAGAGACACCATACGTTAGGTAGAAAGTACAGTGGATGCAGAAAGGATTTATCAGAATGGCTCTTGGGTTGAGGGATTTCATTTAACTGAATAGACTTGTGAAGCTGGTATTGTTCTTCTTGGAGGAGGGAAGTGTGAGATAGAGGTGCTCAAAATCATGAGTAGTCACGTCAAAGTTGATAGAGCGAAACCCTTCCTGTTTGAGGAAGGGCCAAACAACACAGGAAACAGGCTTAAAGTGGCTGCCTAAAGAACCGAAGGTGACATAAATAGAAATTTGTATTTGCAGTGCATTGTTGCTATCTGGAATGCTCTGTTTGGAAATGAATCAACACCTAAATAGTAAACAGTTATGGGGAAAAAAATGGGATAATGGGATGAGCCATATTTCTCTTGTAGAGAGTTGGAACAGACTTGATGGATTGAATGGTCTCCTCCTGTGCCATAACCAAGCATTCTTTAGGCAACAGGGAGCCGTAAGTATAAGCTCAGTTTTGATATACATTAGATACTTAGAACGCATGCTAAAAGTTTGTAAATTGCAACTTCAAACATTTCACATGATCTTTGGTTACAAGGATTTCTATAAAGAGCTTTTTCAATTATTTATAAGTTATTGTAACTGATATATCTATAACTGATATATTTATATATTCCTTTCCATTATTGCTTATAACCTTGTGTAGGAAACAGCACACAATTAAGATCTATTGCTTGGTATGTATATCATAATTATCCTCATTTAGTTAATGTTAAGAGCAATAGTAACTATTTCAAAGGTAAGTCTTTTGGTATATTGCTGTAGTTCAAAAAGTAAGACATACAAAATTTAATCATAAGTTAATTCCAATAAAATTAATATATTGCCAACAAAAGTATTTGCATATTTTGTGGAACATTTTATTACTTGCATAAGGTTGTTGTTATATTTTTAAATACATACTTTTTTTGCTGAGAAATAATTTCTTTAAACCCAGTTGATTTATTCTTTCTAGAATATTGATCCTGTTAAATTTCCCCATGTCCTATGTTAATTAAAGAAGTCTAATGTCCAGCCTCAATACCTTTCCTGACAACCTGGATCATCTTGTAATTACCATCTAGGTCCACTCTAAATTATCTTCATCTAATGTTGAATCTATTCAATTTATTACTGTTCTTTAATGTATCTGGAAGCACTTTTCTTGGATTACTTTCTCTATCTTGTTAAGTCGCTTGTTACAAAGATTCTTCTTTAAATATCTTTTAAATTTTTTCTCTAAAATTGTTTTCATATTTTCAAGTTTTCCACAGCTTCACTCTTCCTGAACTCTCTAACCTCTTCTGGAAATGCAACCCTTTAAGATCCCCCATTCTGACCTTCTGCACCTCTCCAATTGTCATTGCTCCACCATTGGAAAATATACCTTCATCTGCTTCAGTGCTAAGTTCTGGACTTTCCTCTCTAAATCTCTTCACCTCTCTACCTCCTTTAGGATATTCCATAAAAACTACCTCTTTGGACTACCTTCTCTGGCTGGGTCTCAATTCTTTTTTGAAGTAGCTTAAGTGCCTTCTAACATTTTACCTCTTAAATATACGGTGTAAACATAGCTTGTTATTTTAGGTTTACTATCATTGCCTCTCAGGCTTCTCTGCCACATTTTATTTTCAGTGCTAATGATTTTGATTGCCATGGAAAGAACTGGAATCTCACAGCAACAGGGGCAAATAAAAAGATGAAATGAAAGACTATGCATTGTAATGGCGACTGTGCTTTGGTAGAGATCAGGAAAAGTGAGAATGCATTCGGAGAACAAGGAGGAAGAGAATTTGAGTGGCGAGCAAAGGAAGGGGTACAAGACAAGAATGCATGACAAGGGAAAATAGATCAGCATGGACAGCAAATGGCTGTGAAAGAGGAGGTAGAATGAGTAGCATTTGGTAATAGAGCAAACAACAACATGAAGGGAGCTAAGACAAAAGGAGAAAAATGAAATCAGAGCAATGATTAAGTCAATGGCATTGAAGGGGGGCGGTGTAAATAGATACGTGGAGAGGTTATGTTAAAGCCTCTGTGAGTCTAGAGGTAATAGATTGTCTTTGATAATCAGGACATGAGAGTTCAATGTTGGAGAGTGACTGTTGAAGTAATTCCTTAATCAGTGATTTGATTGAAATCAAAATCATCACTTTGTTTTTCCTTCTAAAAGTAAAACATGTTAATTTCAAGTATCAAAGTATCATTTTAAAGTGTAATGTCGAACCTGGGCTACTCACTTAGAGATGCACAACTAATTTTATGCCTGCAACATTCCCATTCAGGTGTTATCATAGTTGGGGCTTGTATCTCCTCCATTCAGATGAAGCAATGCTTTATATCTCTACCTTTTAATGTATAATGTCAGTGGTGCCACATCTTTTTCTAAATCAGTGCCCTTTTGAGGGAAGTTGCTGACATGTTCTTTCCAGTTTTCTTGTTGGCAATTATAGTTGTAGCAGATGCAATGATTCTGATCTGCAGAGGACAAGATAGAAGCAGCGAGTTTGGTCATGATTGGATTGAAGTGTTTTGGAATGGAGAGGTACTCTAGAGTTTCCCTTGATTGCAGTGAGAACCAGAAATTGCTTAGACAAAATATCCAAGTTGCAGATTTAACAATGTGTATTTGAGACGGTGGTAGGTTAGGTTTAGAACATGCATTAGTCCGATCAAGCCAAATACAATTCTCATCTTTGCAAGTCAAAGTTCTAAATGTCTGTATGTACAATTATTTCATTAGTTGTGGTGCAAAAGTTCTTTGGAGTAGATGTAGCCATTTATTTCAATTCCAAGGGAGTTCTCTTCAAAGTAGTTTGTTGATATGATCAGGTCATGACTGACTTGATGGTTGGTAAAAGTTGTGTGATCACTGTGTTGATAGATCAGGCAATGTCGTTTCATAACTAGATTTATTTTAATGCAACAATATATTGAAAATACTTACAAACTTGTAATGTTATCTCCTTGTAATGCGATTCTTAAATTAAACCAGAAGATTTGCTGTTCCACTTCATCCTGAGGCCATTCCAAATAGGTTTTTGTATTCATCAGTTTCCTCAGCTTGCAGAATCTTTGAGGAATGGTTTCCTTTGGGATCATCTCCAACAGAACAAGGATGGCTGAATCATCATTTTCATCAAATAGACGAAAATGAGTATAGTCAAGCTCGTACTTGCACCACTCACTTTGGACAAAATGTTGAGACAAAACAAAGAGGGTTTTCCTACTTTTCTCAATGGACTCAATAATGTTGTCAATTATCCACTTGCCTGGGATGAAATCGCGCTTATGAAGGCAGAGTGTCAGCGGTGGATGAGCACTTTCTAACTCACTTACCAGCAAGTTTTCCACCCACTCTGAATCCATCTCACTATAAGAGACAAATGCATCGTAACAAATATTATTCTTCTTCACTTTCTTTGGTTTCCTCTTTGCCTTCAGCCATGCCCATGTCATTTGGATATACCAGAACACGTGATACTTGTAACACATCACCACAACAATGGCTACTGTCAAAATTGTGCCAACACACAGTAAGGCTAGGGACAATGTTTTGTGACAGTCAAAAAAAGAGCGCTTAGTATTTTGTACCATCTTTCCCCTGAGGAATAAAGGTGAATCACAAATGTAATCTTCCGCTCGGTCCAACAGTTGCACTGTCTTGCCATTATTCATATAGAACAGGAATTCGCATGAACAAATATAATTATTCTTTCCAGCTTCTAAAAATTGAAGCTTCTGAAATGTCTTGATTTCTTCAGCTGAGAGAGAGGTGAGTTTATTACTGCTGATCTTCAGAATTTCCATCTTTGGTAAGTAGCCATCACCTGGTAAACTTTTAAACTTATTATTGGACAGATTTAATTCTTTGAGAGAAGGAAGATTAACAGCAAAACTGCTGATAATATTGTTACTTAAATCCAACACTTCAACATTTGGAGGGACACATTCTTCTATATTTTTGATATCACAGCTCGAAAGGTTTAGAAGTTGTAGCTTTTCAGACCATTTGCATGAAGTCTTTATGACACTGAATCTGTTCTGGCTCAAATCTAAATGGATAAGTTTAGGAAGTGTGGTTAATTTTGTGCTTGTTCTAGCCAGGGATTGAAAAAGATTCTTTCTCAGAATAAGATAATGTAGTGAACGCCAAGATCCTGAACAGACAGTTTCGTCCAAACTCCTATCACTTAACAAATTGTCTGTTAAATCAAGGTACTCCATATTTTCTAACTTTTTGGATACAGTGCAGGGCATCAGAAACATTGTTAGTTTTGTAAATGTGGCGTTTTTAATGGATTGAAACAGATCACTAATATTTGAAAGATCATGAAATAAATAGAAGTGTTTAATCGATATATTACTTAATAATATTGTATCGAGAGAATTAGTTTTTAAGTTGTCTATTCCATACCATTGCCCAACTCCTGAAAGTTCACTGTCTTTTACTACCAGTTCAGATACTTTTGTGTTTTTCATTGAATTTAGGAAATTTATTACAGTATTTTCAGTAAGAAAAGTATTTCTGAAACTCAATTTTCTCAGTGACGAATTTTGTACTGGTAAAAATGGCTGACTGTCCTTTTTATCCGGAAATGCTACATTTCTTAGCTCCATGTGGGTGGTGAATTCTGATAAATCAACAAAAATCTGCTGAGCCTGACTTGGTTTATTCAGAAATGTGTAAGGCAGACTTAAGGTAGCATGACTTATACTGCTGAATGAACTGAAGCTCCCTTTCTCATACACCTGTAATTTCTCTGCTGTTACAATAAACTCATCCAGATGTGTAACCCCTACAAAGTCACCTTTCTTTAGAACAGAAAGAGAAGGACTGCCAAATTCTAACCATCTGAGTCTTGTCAGATTTGAGAAAATTCTCCCCGATCCCAAATCTGTGTAATTATTTCCTAAAATGTTAAGGTATAGTAATTTGGAAAGATGTTCAAACCAATGCGGTGACAAGTGTGTCAAAAGATTATTCGATAAGTCAAGATACTCCAGGTCTGTGTTATGCTGGAGTGCCTGCTCCGAAATAGAGTGGATTCGATTTGATTGCAATAGAAGTCTTTTGAGTTTCACATATGTTATGAAATCAGTGTCCTTAATCTGTGAGATCTTGTTATGAGACAGATCAAACCCCAGTACATTTTCCACTACACGTGGAACATTCTCTAGCTTCACCGATGAGCAGTTGCAGAAGTTGTGAGAGTTGCATTTCTGACAGATGTCCGATGGGTCAGTGTTCCCTTCTAAGAAAGCTGCACGTACAAAAATGCAATCAACAAGCAGGATCAACAATGAGGGAGATCTCATCGTTCTTCTTCAGAGCTATCTGAAATGAAAAAAAAATTAAAACTGAAATGCTAATGTAGCATATTGTTTAAATTCTGCATTTTTTGTAGAATGCAACTAATGTATTGCAAACTTAAGTGCAGAATCAGGTATCGTACATGATATAAAATTTCAGTGCAAATGATAGATGAAATTATGCCACTTAAACCTCAGACATGACATAAAATTTGATCTACTTTGAAATGGCTTTCCCAAATTATTAAATTCTAATTAAAATCATAGCATTGTATTCCTTTCACATATTGGAATGTAATTTTAACTGTGGCATTAACAAACTAACCAGGTAACTGGAACTATGTGCTACTTCTGCTTTCTTGTCTTTTTCCCCATTCCGCACATGATTCTCAATAAAAAAGAAGCAAAGTACTGACAGCATTCATATGGAAACCTAAGAGATTCTATGGAGGTGACCATTGCTGCAACTGCTGGCAATCTATAAAACAGCCTTCAGTTCAAACCGAGAGGCACTGCATCTTGAGTTAATGTTTGCTCCCAAGCCGCTGTTCCTATCTTTCACTGGATGGTTGCATCCTGACCAGCCTTCCCCTTGACTGCTGCTGAGAACACAGGAAAATTGGGTGTATGTGATGCATACAGAGGTGTCTCAACAATTGAAATGGATGAGGAAAGAGGGCAGTGATACTGGCGTGTCCCTAAATTTCACCTACGATGAGCAGTGAGTTTTCCAATTACTTTGATTAGCCACAATGAACCTCTACCTACCATGTCCAGGATGTTCGGCTTCTTCCTTTTCCATAGCTTGGTGCTGATGACCCGAGTTTATACCACGCTGCACCCCTCCTCACCCCACCTCACCTTTGCTGTTTCCAAGCCTCTAGGCAATCTGCTATTCTCCAGCTTCCACAGTGCCACACGGTTCAGCATGAAAAAGACTGACCACAAAAACAGCTGCACAAAGCCACAAGGTTGCCTTTAAATAAACATACCGCAAGATTTTCAAGCACCACTGACTTTATGTTGACAGTAGGGTGTAATTTTACAAAGTTCCCCGCACCAATGAACATTGTTTTTGAAATTATGAAACCACCACAGGCCTGTCACTGATTTAATCTCTGCAATTCAAACTGCCGTTGGAAAATCAAAATTCCAACTTTTACCCAATTCGGTCACTCTACGTGCTAAATTTCCACTTTGCAGGGCCCATAAAATACCCACACCCACCTGCCCTCAGCTGTATCCTGGTCTGTTAGTATCCTCAAATCAGTTACATGGCCAGGGTAAATGTTGAAACTTCTGTAAATGAATTGTAAATTATCTAATTGTTGAAGGAAGTTCTGAATGCTAACAAAGTTTTAAGAGTGAAATCTGCTTCATTTTGGATTAATGTAAAACAATACTACACATTCCAATTTAGTAGGACTTGAGGCAATCTATTTTACTGCAAATTGACTCGGTTAACTCAATTTTTTTCAGCAAATAACTGAGTCTGTATCTGTCTTTTTGTGGCACTAGAGGACTGTCCCTGCAGTGGAATAAGAAAACTGGTGGCAGTGGATCAAGCAACACTTGTAAATAATTGTTTTCTGTTTCAAAAACAGAAGTTGCTGGAAAAGTTCAGCAGCTCTTGCGGCATCTGTGAAGAAAAACATCAGAGTTAACGTTTCGGGTCCGGTGACCCTTCCTCAGAACGAACACATTCATCACCGGACACGAAACATTAACTCTGATTTTTTCTTCACAGATGTTGCCAGACCTGCTGAGCTTTTCCAGCAACTCTGTTTTTGTTCCTGATTTACAGCATCCACAGTTCTTTCGGTTTTTATTAAGTTTTCTGTTTCATTGACAAATACTCCAGCTATCTCACAGATTGAAGGATCAAGCTGAGAGTCTGAAGAAGCTAATACAGTTCCAAAGATTTTAGTATTGGCATTGTTGCTCTTCCCTGTATCAGTGAGCTGTGAAAAGGCACGAAGCAACTTCAGTTTTTTTTATTCATTCAAAGGGATGTGGGCATCACTGACTATGTCAACATTCATTGTCCATTGCAAATTGTCCTTGAGTAGGTGGGTTGGTTCTTGTACCATTGGAGTCCATGTCATGTAGGTATACCTACAATGCTATTAGGGTAGAAGTTCCATGATTTAGACCCTGTGTCAATAAAGGAATAGTGATATGGTTCCAGATCAGGGTAGTGAATGGCTTGGAAGGGGTCTTTCTGGTGGTAGTGCTCGCACATATGTTCTGACCTTGTTCTCCTAGATAGCAGAGGTTATAGGTTTAGGGAGTGTTTCTAAAGGAGTCTTGTTGGGTTGACACTGAACATCTTTTTGCTGATACACACTGCTGGTCCTGTGTGTATGTGGTGGAGGGACTAAATTTTGAAGGTGGTGAATGGGGTGCAAATCAAGTAGGCTGCTTTGCCCTGGATGGTATCAAAGTCCGTGAGAGCCTTTGGAGCTATACTCATCCAGATAAGGAACAAGTATTCTGCCACACTGCTGACTTGTGCCTTGTAGATATAGACAGGCATTGGAGTGACAGGAGGTGAGTTACTAACTGCAGCATTCCTAGTCTGTGACCATTTCTGTAGACACAATATTTATATGGATGGTCCAGTCTAGTTTCCTATCAAAGCAAACTTCTGGGCTGTTGATGGTGGAGGTTTCAGCAATGCTATGTCATTGAAAATCAAGTGAAAATGGTTGAATGCTGTCTTTTGGAGATGGTCACTTCCTAGCAATTGTTTAGAATGAATGTTACTGCCACCTACAGCCCAAGCCTGAATGTTGTGCAGGTCTTGTTACATATGGATTCCTTCAGTTTCAGAGGAGTTGGATATGGTCCTGAACATTGTGTAACTATAGGTGAACATTTTAGCCTTTGATTTTATGAAGGAAGGAAGGCCATTGAAGATGGTTAAGTCTAGGACACGACCCAAAGGAACTCCGGTAATGATGTCCTCTGCTGAGATGATTGACCTCCAAAACCATCACAGTCTTCATTTAATTCAAATCAGCAAAGATTTTTCCTCCAACTCCCATTGACTCCAACTTTGCTAAGGTTCCCTGATACCATATACGGTCAATTATGATGCCAAGACCGGTTGCCCTCACATTTCCTCTGGAGTTCAGCCCTTTTGTCCATGTTTGGACCCAGCTGTACTCAGCACAGGACATCATTACCAGAGTTCCTTCGGGTACTGTCCTAGACTTAACCATCTTCAATTTTTTCAGGAGGTCAGGAGATAAGTGGGCAGAACTCGAACTAAGTATCAGTGAGCAGGGTAATTGTTGAGTAAGTGCAGCTTGATAATATTATTGATGACCCTTTCTATCACCTTGTTGGTGATTAATAGTAGATTGATGGACCAGGTTGGATTGACCCTTTTTTTTTTCTGTGGGACATATCTGGGCAATTTTTCACATGGTTGGATAGATGTCAGGGTTGTGGCTATACTGGAACTTTCTGGAGCACAAGTTTTGCCAGCATTATTGCCAGAATGCTGACAGGGCCCGTAGCCTTTCCATGATCCAGCTGGTATTACTTGCTTGGTGCCTTGCACACAATTAAAGTAAAAATTCATTTGTAGAGTGAAACATTCAGCTTGAGGACTAAATATAGCATCTTGTGGCTAAAAAGGTGTGTCAGCTTATATATCAAGTATATATAAAAACATGATTTTGGGAGATAATAAAATGGGTTTATCTTTTATGGGTTAGTTTATAGGCTGTGATCTGCAGAACATGAAAAGCATCATCTATTATATTTGCCTCTTACATTACCAATTGGATATCTAAGGTACTAACTGTGGACAAACCAAAACAAAAAATAACAAAAAGTACCAATAAGAATTGTTACCAGTGGAAAATTGAGAAATTGAATCTTTTCATTTTTGAAAACAATTACTTACAAATTAACAGCTAAGAAGAAACAGCTAAGAAATTGAATTTAACAATTCTTTAGTTTTGATTTTTTTTGACTTTCCTGCTTTGCTCAAGTTAGTTTCAACAGCCAAAATTTGAGCTGGATTTTGTGAAGGCATGAAACGAAGGCATCACATGGCGTAGCCCATTAGTTAGACAGTCTTTGCATGTTTAGGTTTTGACAAGTGTTTTCAACAAAGTGGGTGAAAGTGTAAGTGGACAATAGGGAAACAGATGGCATTGCGGTTATGTTATTGGACCAGAACCTTAGACTAATGGTCAAGGGTTCAGTCCTACCATGGCTGATGGTGAAATTAGAATTCAATAAATGTCTGGAATTAAACACTAATCAAATGGAGACCATGTAACCACTGTCAATTGTTGTTAAAAACCCAACTGGTTCACTATTATCATTATCTAGTCTGGCCAATATGTGACTCCAAGCCCACAGAAATTTGATCGACTCCTTAAATTGTCCTCTAGGCAATTAGGGATGGGCAATAAATGCTGCCCCAGCTAGCAGCACCCATAGTCCATGAACGAAATGTTTAAAAATGGATCAGCAAAAGAAACAGAGAAACCTTGGTGAACAGCAGTACAAATAGTATTTTTCTATCAATGAGATTCAAGGACTGAGAAGATAAAGCATTGAGAAGGATTGTAAATTGAAGTTGGTGAATTCAATGGACATGTATTCCATTTTAAATGGAAGCGTATTTCATATTGAAATGTGGGTCTTGCCACTAGGAATTCAATGATCTTGGCAAACCTCCATAAAGAAAGACACATATTTTCAACTCGTTATTCTTTGATCATGCCTATGCAACCTTACCTCAGTACTAGATTAATGTACCTTCACTCTTCCAAGTCCTGTGTCTTTTATATTAGAGCAATCATACACTTCCCTGTAGGTGCTTTTACTACTAATGGCACACTTAACATTTGGCATTGCTCTCAGATTTCCTTCTCTTTCTCTTCTATACCTTCCACTGCTTTTTCTTGTAATGCAGTGAACTGTAGAGGTGTATAGTTGTTGTAGATTTTTGCATAACCATGTCTTTAAACTGGTTACAAACTATGGAAGCAAATGCAAATGTAAGAGCAAAATGCTTCTGCTTTGTGTTTAACATTCCTCCCAAAATCACCATCCAGCCCACAGTCAATATGAGACTTCCCAGTGAGTTATCTTGCATCAGTCACAGCTCCTTTTAAATTTTGCTTGGAATGAAACTCTCCCAATTGAAATGCCCGTGGATCATGGCTGTTTTTCTCATTTTGTTATAAAGCTTCCATTGCCTTTATTGGGAGCACAGATGTCTATTTCAAGACCCACTCAAAGGCATGAGTTTCTGTCCTGCCTATTGCTGCCAGCTCACTTCTGTCCTATTGTATTTTCATCAAACTGGTTGTGAAAAATTTGACCTACATAGTGAATTTTAACAAGAGCCAGATATAAAACCAGAAATTGCTGGTAAAGCTCAGCAGGTCTGACAACGTCTGTGGAGAGAAATAAGAGTTAACATTTCAGGTCCAGTGATCCTTCCTCGGAGTTCTGAGAAGAGTCACTAGAACTGAAACAGTAACTCTGATTTCTCTCCACAGGTGCTGCCAGACCTGCTTTTTCTGTTTTTGTTTCTGATTTCCAGCATCCACATTTCTTTCGGTTTTTAAGAGCCAGACAAATCCTAGTTAGCATGTTAGATTAGTTTCCCTGTAATTCCATTTCTAGAAATGCCTAAAGAATGTTTACAAATGTTGTAAATAATGCTTTGATAAAACTAATACAAAATATATTTGGAATATTATTCTAAAATTGGAGCTGTGAGTAAAGTTCAGTTTAAAAAATTGACAATAATTGTAAAATGCAAAAGATGCTAAAATCAATCTTAAAATTGGTCTGCTGAGAAAAGGTTTAATGAGTTTATAAAGGTTTAAGATCAAGTATAATGTCCTTTATGATGTTTGTATCTGTAAAATTGCACATAGCACAACATACTATAGTGTTCAAATAATGAACTATAAAAATGTTACATTATATAGCAAATGGTTGTATGAGAGTTTGGAATCTTATGCAAATTTACCAGTTATTGAAAGCTGGTCATTTTTTACAAGCTGTCTCTTAAGATTGTGTAACACTACATTAAGTAACATTTCAATTTTCAGGCCGATATAGTTAAACTTTCATTAGACACCTACCTTTTATCTGTGAGCCATAGCAAAGTAGATTCTTGCACTTATTTCTTTTTGCCTCAATAATTATTTCATCACTTTTTAATGTATATTTCTGCAACTCCTCTTGAGTCACACATTCATTTAAAAACAGAAAGATGAAAAAAAACCCAATTATTATTAAGTTTAAATGATATTAATTCATTATTCTTTTTTGTCTACTTAAAAAGAACATTTAACAGTTATTCTTACCCTGTGAGTCTTCAATATTGTATTAATCACATAAATCTCTCATAAATCCAAACAAACAGAAATTTGTATCTCTTTGCCTCTGTCTTCTTCTTTCCTCCTCTTTAAACAGAGATTCTGAGCTGATTCTAAAACACATTGAAATGTATAAGCTGCCAAGTAAGAAACAGACAGGAAGCAGATGTAATCTTAATTTAAAGGAAGGCCATTTATAGAAGCAGATAGTCCCTTATCTGCATTAGATTATTGTATTTAAGCAGTGGTATTGCTACAAAAACAACTAATTTCTCATTGTATTACTGCTTGAAGATAGGAGACAGAGGGTGGTGGTGGAGGGTTGCTTTTCAGATTGGAGGCCTGAACCAATGGTGTGCCACAATGATCGGAGCTGAGTCCATTGCTTTTTGTCATTTATGCAAATGATTTGGATGTGAATATAGGGAGGAATGGTGAGTAGGTGAGTTGGTGCAAATAACACCAAAATTGGTGGAGCAGTGGACGATGAAGTGGACAACAGGACCTTGATCGGATGGGCTGAGGAGTGTCAGATGGAATTTAATTTAGATAAGTGTGATGTGTTGCATTTTAGTAAGGCAAATCAGGGCAAGACTTATACAATTAATGGTTGGGCTTGTGGAATGTTGCCAAGCAAAGAAATCTTAAAGATGGAATCGCAGGTAGACAGGGCAGTGAAGAAGGCATTTAGTACAATGGGCTTTATTGGTCAGTGTATTGAGTACTGAAGTTTCAATGTTGTATTGTGGCTGTATAGGACGTTGCTGAGGCCACTTTTGGAATACTGTGTTCAATTCTGGTCTCCCTTCTACAGGAAAGATGTTGTTAAACTTGAAAGGGTGCAGAACAGATTTATAAGGATATTGCCGGGGTTGGATGTTCTGAGCTGTAGGAAGAGGCTGATTAGGCTGGGGCTATTTTCCTTGCAGCATTGAAGGCTGAGGGGTGACCTTATAGGGGTTTATAAAATCCTGACGGGCATAGATAGGGTGAATAATCAAGGTCTTTTTCCCAGGGTAGGAGAGTCTAAAACTAGAGGGCATAGGTTTAAGGTGAGAGGAGAAAGATTTAAATGGGACCTACAGGGCAACTTTTTCACACAGAGAGTGGTGCATGTATGGGATGAGCTACTGGGGAGGTGGTGGAGGCCGGTACAGTTACAACAATTAAAAGGCATCTGGACGGCTACATGAATAGGAATGATTTAGAGGGATACAGGCCAAATGCTGGCAAATAGGACAATTATCGATTTGCTCAGCATGGACTAATTGGACTGAAGGGTCTGTTTACATGCTGTACAACTCTGACTCAAAGTAGGGAAGTCTTGTGCCTTCAGATTTTAATTATTGTTGAGTATTTTACTTCTTTTTGATTGTTGTCTTTCATTTTCACTTTCTGTATGTGATTTGAGATTGATATATTCTAACTTGCACTTGTAGTTCAGACTTTGCCTGCAATTCTCTTTGGAGAGTTTTAATCAGATGAAAGGTATGTATTTAAAATGAATGAAAATACCGAAGGGTTGAGAAGACTCACCACCTCTCCAAGTGTCTCCAGTCTCCTGCGCCACCTTAAAACACAGAAAAATAAACCAAAACATGGAATATAAAGGCAGAAAATAAAGAAATAAAGTTCAACTTTACATTTCTTCTTGTTAAATGCTCAGCCATGGGCTTTTCTCCAATCAAATATAGTTAACAATATTTGCTGTATCCAATAAGAGATGAATCAGAAGGTTCCTTCAGTTGAAAAAAACAATGTTATTGCCTGCTAGACACAGTAAATTAAAAAGATGTGGCCTCAATCACAAGGCCTTTGTGCAGTCACTTGTTGAACTCTCGCTGCTTTTTCAATATTCTTGTTTTTATTCCTTTACCAATTTTGGTTTGCAGGTATGAACGGCGAGTTGTGAGCTGAAGATGACTTGTGAGCTTTGGGAAATACTTGTAGTAAAAGGAAAAGAACATACCAAATAAGGTCTTGTTAGTTTGTGAAGCTAGGCCTGGAGGCTAATTGCAGGCTGATTGTTTTTTATTCTTAAAAAAAACAGTTCTTACTGACACAATGACCCCGGGAAGAGCAGTGTGTTTAAACAGATAGCAGTCAGCTGTTAACAAGGTGGGAATAATCTGGGAATTGGTTCTGGCAAGTCTGTAAGAGACCCTATATTCAAACAGATGACAGTTGCTGAATGGTAATTGAGGCCTCGGGAAAATACAGTTAGTCTCTCAGGGTAGAACCAGAGTTGGAGTTGTTTGTTTTTTGAGCTGTTTGTTTTCTGGGAGATGAGTTTAGCCACTGATGACACAACGCAAAGATTTGAAAACTCCCTGCCTAATCTCCCTTACCAGCTTTCAGATGCAGGAAGTGTAGAACGTAGGGTTAAATGTATTACTGACTTGACCTGCGTGAATTGAAGAGGTGACCAGAAAAGCAACCAAGAGAGTCCACACCAATGCTTGCAAAACAGCACATTGTAAAAACAATATAAGTATTCTGGCCAGGTTTACTATTTTCTTTTATGTATCCCTTAACTATATTTGTTTGTCTGTCTTTTGTGTGAATGGAAGCTGCAAACAAATGTTTTGGGTTTAAGGCACGGATATCAATTAGATCAACCTGTGGTTTAATTTTTTTCTCTGCTAAAGTTATTATTTATTTAATAAATTGTTAAGTCTTTTGTCTAAGATGCAAAACCGGTGTCTGGAATTATTTATTTGCAAAGTCTGGGATTGGTTATTCAAACGTCTGGTTAGGAACCATTGGAGTAACTATTGAGAGTCTTCACAAATTTTCATTTAATTGTGTTGCAAATTCGGAGGTAGAAAGGCTAATTTGATTCAACTGTCAGTCTCCGTATCGTAACACTTGGGCCTTTACACATACAGCGGATAGTATCCACTACAAAGAAAGATAAAATATTTGTAGCCCTTTTGGATGTGCTTAAGGATTTAACCTGAGATTCCAATGGTAGTAACAAGCCTTCTCAGCCTAAGTTTAGTTAAGACCATAGACTAAGAAATTGGAAGAGGAGTTTGCGCCTGTTCCACAATTCACAGCTGATCTGACATTCCTCACGTTTGCTTTCCTGCTTTTTCCCTATAATAACCTTTGATTCCTCCAATGATCAAAAATCTATCTCAGCCTTAACTATACACAAGGACTGTGTCAAGGAGTTCCAAATAAACCTAACACTCCAAGAGAAAAAAATTTCTCCTCATCTCAGTCTTAAATTGGCACCCCTTTATTCTGAGACTATGCCCTCTGGTCCTAGACTCTCCCATGAGGGGAAACATTGTCTCAGCATTTACCTTGTCAAACCCCTTAAAATTTCACCTCATTCATCTCAACTCTATTGAGTAGAACTCCAAACTATTTAACCTTTGCTCATAAGGCAATGCCTCCATACCATGGTCATCCTATGGTAAGAAGTGAACCTTCTCAGAACTTCCTCCAGTGAAATGATACCTTTAATTAAATCAGGGGACCAAAACCACACTCAGTACTCCAGATTTGGTCTCACCAGCACCTTATTCAGTTGCAGTGATACTTCCCTACTGTTATGCTTCAAACGCCATTGAAATAAGGAACCGGCATTCCATTAGCCTTCCTGATTACCCACTGTACCAGTGTAATCGTTTTCTGTTCTTCACGCACAAGTACTTCCAAGTCCCTTTTTATTGTATCTTTCTGCAGTTTTTCCCTACTTAAAAATGAATAACTTCATATTTTTCCACATTATACTCCATTCCAAATGTTTTTCCCTCTTACTTAACCTTTCAATATATCTGAAGACTTTTGGATCCTTTTTGCAACTTGCCAATCCATCTATTTTTGTGTCATCTGTGACAGTACATTCATTTCCTTTCTCCAAGTCATTAATGTATATTGTAAACAGTTGTGGTACTGATCCCAAATTACAAGTTGCTGACCTGAAAAAGAACCCCTGATCCCCATTCTATTTCCTGCCCATTAACCAATTCTCTATCCACGTCAATATACTCCCTTCAAAACCATGGACTCATATCTTATGACTTAATCTTTGTGAATACCTTGTTGAATGATTTCTAGAAGTCCAAATATAAAATATTAACTATTCCCCTCTATCCACTCTGGATAAATACATTTGGCATGATTTCCCTTTCATGAAACCATGGTGTCTCTGCATGATTAGATTGATTTCCAAATAAGCTCCTTATTACTTCATGAATAATTGATTCCATCATTTTCCTAACAGTAGATGTTAAGCTTATCGGCCCATAATCACCTGCTTTCTACCTCCCTGCCTTTTTGAATACAGGTGTCACACTGACAGTTTTCCAATCCTCCAGTACTTTTCCTGAGTCCAAGGATTTTTGGAAAATTGCATCTACTATCTCTGTAGTTACTACTTTTGGAACCCTAGGTTGCAGATCATCAAGGCCGGGGAGACTTCTCTGCCTTTAGCCCCATTAGTTTGTCCGATACTACTTCTCTAGTGATGGTGATGGTACTTAATTCCTCCCTTGTTTTCTTTAGTATTAATGGGATATTTGAAATATCTTCCACCATTAAGACAGATACGAAATACCTCTTTGACACCTCTACAATTTCCTCGCTCCTCATAACCATCTTCTCTGATTCATTTTATAAGGAGCCAATGTTCACATTGACATTTCCCTTTATATATTTAAAGATGCTGTTATTGTCGGTTTTTATATTCCTCACTAGTTGCCCTCATAGTTTATCTTCTCTATCATCCTTATGGCCTTCCTTTGCAGGATTCTGAATTTATCCCAGTCTTTGGGGCTATCCTTATGGCCTCCTTATATGCTTTCTCTTTTCCACTTAATACTCTCTTTACCATCCTTGGTTAGCTACGGTTGATTTATCCTTCTCTTAGAATCTTTCCTCCTTACTGGGATGTATTTTTGCGTGAGTCATGAATTAACTTCTTAAATGCCTGTCACTCCTTGCTTACTGTCTGTGTTCCTGATTTCATTTCATTTCTACTCTTTCGAGAAAGAGCTTCTTGAAATTGCAGCTTGTTTGTATATTCCATGTCTGCTGAGCTTGTTTTCAGGCTCGATAATCGTAGGTAAGTTTTCATCTCCAATGTAAAAAGAATGCTCATGATGGTGTAAATAAGTTAGGAGATGAGGACCTTTTCACAGCACCCATGGGGACTGGCTGACTGGTTTCATTCCCTTTCAAGAAAATGTTAATTTCAGCTCCGTTTGTGTTTAATCTAGTTGGCATTGGTTTCATGAAACATGGCCAACCTGTGTGGTCAGGTGATCCCTGTGGCCATTTTACATATATGTTTTGGTCTGTTTTAAAAATTGTTTCCATCCACGACATTCCCAGGCATTAAATTGGCTAATAGAATTCAAAGATCAATGGTCTGTACTTTATATTGTCAAGTCAATGGTAACAGAAGACAGCTTAGAGAAGAATGAACAGCAACAGAAATGTGTCTGAGGAAAAGGGAGGGAGCAAGAGAGGGACAGCAAAGAGGGTTGGAGAGAGAACAGGGAACTATAAATCATAGTAGATGACATTTAGCCCATTGGGTCCTTGCCAACTCTTTGTAGGAGTAACTTATAAGAATCAGTTCCCTGCATTTTCTCCATGTTGTTCATTTTTATTTTCTCTTTAGATAATTAATCTATTTTTATTTGAAAGCTTCAATCAAGATGCCGCCGGCATACTTTCAAACACTGCATTCCAAATCATAACCACTTGTTGCATAAAAAAAACTTTCCTCATGTCATCTTCACTTCTTTTGCCAATCGCTTAAATTTGTTTCCTCTGGTTTTGAACCCTATCACCAGTAATAACGCTTTCTCCCTGTCTACACTGTCCAGACCCCTCATGATTTTGAACCCCTCTGACAAATCTCAATCTTCACGTCTCTGAGGAGAACAGCCCAGGTTCTCCATTCTATGGAACTCTAGTCCTCCTTCCTGGAAACAGGCCTTCACTTCCATCCAAAAAATAAAGCCCAAAACTATACAAAGTACGGTCCTGACCTGAAACGTCAACTTTCCTGCTCCTCTGATGCTGCCTGGACTACTGTGTTCCTCTAGCTCCACACTTTGTTATCTCTGACTCCAGCATCTGCAGTTTTTGCTATCACAGTACTCAAGCTGGGATTGAGAAAATTTTTTCTACAGATCTATCATCACTTCATTGCTTTTATCTTCTGCACCCCAATTTATAAAACCCAAAATCCAGTTTGCTTTTATTAATTGCTCTTCTCTCATCCTGACACAAACTTTTATCTGTCATTTGTTCATATTTCATCAGCGTCTGTCACCTCTGGAAGTTCATCACTATCCTCCTTATAATTCATAATACTTTCAGGTTTTTTGTCTGCTGCAAAAAGGAGATCTAAGTCAGTAATATATAAGAAGAAAAGCATGGGTCCTAATAGGGGCCCACGGAGAACCCCATTATGTACCTTCTCTAGTCTAAACAAAAACATTCACAACAATATTGTTTTCTGTCACTAGCCAGCTTCATATTCATAATGTAATTGTCCTATTTACTCCATGGACTCTAATTTTGATAAAACGCCTGTTAGTTGGG